GAACGAATCAGCTGAAATTACTTTTGTTTGAAAAAGTAGCATATGGAAAGACACCTCTACCCCTAGTATTATTTATTCCACTACATTTAAAATCTGTCCATTAAAATTATAAATTTATATTTAATATTTACTAAAAATATATAAATAAAATAATAATATATTAATATAATCATATTACAACTGAGAAATATAATTACTTATATTTTTAACTTAAAATATAATAAATAATATCAATTATTATTATATGTTCTTATTTCAAGCGATAAAATATATTGTAAACATTAACTTTACAAGTATAGACAATCTATTTATAATTTAAAAAATATACACAACAAATTATTATGAATTATTTAAAACGTAAACATAAACTTATAAAATTAATTTAAATTATTATTTGTGTTGAAATATAGCTAGTTTTAAAAATGAAAAAAAATGAATAATTGTTAATGTGATATTCAATAAACCATATTTAAAAATTATTTAAGATCTGAACAAATAAAATAATAGATATTAAATTTATGGTGGATTTACCATATTTCCTTTTCAAATTCAAACATACGGTGAATTATACATTGCACCATTGACTGATATGGCTTACAAGAAAAAAAAAAATATATATATATATATATATATATATATATATAATTAAAATTGATTATTAAAATATGAAGTAAAATTATTAGTCATTTGAAATATTTTTTATTGAAGAAATGTTTGATTGTTTCGTCAAACAATTTAGAGCATTTTAAAATAAAAAGAGCATTTGATTATAGATTATATATATCATTTAAAAATTAGTTAAAATATATAACAAAATATTTTAAATATTTTTTACTAATTTAAAATAATTCATAAATGAGATTCATAATATTTTTTTATTCTTAAACAAATTTTATTAATAAAGATTTTTCTTTAAAAATATTTTTTATGAAATGAATAAAAAATAATAAGACAACTTTTTCTAAATTTATATTAGAATAAGATAAATTATAAATTATTTAAAAATAATTATATTATAAATTTTTTATATTATAGATAACTAATGCACCAATTTTAATATCATCAAGTTAGTTATATAATTAATTTTCTTATTGGGTGACAAATTTTGATTGGGGTGTTATCTTTTTCTTAGAAAAATAGAAGTTCGCAATATTTTTAAAATAAATAATCATTCAACATTCTTCACTATTAATATAATAATATAAAAAAATAAATTTTTATATTTATTACTATATAATTAAATAAAAATCATACAATAAATGTGTTGAAAAAAATTGGATTCTAGGTATATTACTATTTAATAAGTAATGATAAAGGTATATATTTGATTTATTTACACCTATTAAACATCTATTTTTTTATTATATCATATTTCTTATAAATTGATAATTTTTTCTTTTCTTTTCTAAATATAAATTGACTATTCGTACTTTTTTTATTTTTTTCTTATTCTTATGTTATTTATTTTTCCTGTCTGGTAATTTAAAGTGGAATTGGACTAGACTTAAAAAAAAAAAAAAAAAAAAAAATTGTTTAGCATATAATAGTGAAAGTGAATGATAATCTGTTTGAGTATAGGCATTTTGGTTTGATGTAATTTAAAAAACAAAATACAAGTTTGATAAGTCATGCTAAAATGTATGATTTTAAAAATACAGAAATCGCATTTCTAAACATAATTTTTTTTTAGTGTAAAAAAGTAGTACTTCTACAAATTCAATATAAACAGAATATTGAAGTGGCATTACATCCTATAACTTTGTATTTTATTTTTTATATTCTAATAGTTATTTTTATTATTATGTTATTGTAATCAATGATAATATTTTGTATATTATTGATAAATTTAATATTCTTAATTATTATTTATTTTATTAATATTATTTTGATTTTAATCAGTGATAGTAATATTCTAAAGATCTAGAACAAAAAAAATAACGCGTAAATATTCTGTATTCTAAAGAAACAACTGGGCGTAGTTGATTTTAAGTTTAAAAATAACAACACCTTGTTTTTCTCAAATATTCATCCTATAATTCTATTATTATTATAATAATAATAAAAATACACCGTACGCATATATAATTTAATTATTATTATTATTATTTTTATTATTACTTATATAAATAAAAAATGATTTGGTATGGTTACTTTTAATAAGATGATAAGTGAATATGGAACATCACAAGGATTAAATAAAACTTTTTAATAAGTATTGTTGGTTGATGAAATTGTGTTTTGGATTAATTAATTAATGAACTTTAGTTTGATTTTATTGCAAGTTGTAATAAAGGCCCGAAAATTTAGTTATCAGTCTTTGAAAGACCGAGAGTGTATAACTAATTAAATTTTGGATGCCACAATTTCAGTTACAATCAATCGTAATTTTTAATTTCTAAGATAATTAATCATTATTAGCATTTATTTTATTTTATTAAATATTTGTAATTTTGATGACAAAACTTCTATACAGGTAGAATAATTTTTATCAAAAAATAACAAGTAAAATTTTATTTAGAACTATTAGAGTTTATCTATTTTATTTTAGAAATACTTGATTCTCCTATATTCTTGAGTGATTCAAGAATTCTTGGTTATATCAAACAACTTTCATATTTTTTTTATGTTATCTTATTTGAGAAGAGTAATTATTTATTTTCACCTTCTTAATTTCTAAATTTTTTACAAGATTATAACATTAAAGATCCTAAATTAACCCTGTATAATTGAGATTCCTTCGCATAAATAATATCACAAGCTAAAATAAGAAAACAAACAGTATCATTTAAGAGATAAATGAAATTTCACTATTTTGTTTATATACTTGATCAGAGACCGAACATTTGATCAGAGACAGAACAGAATTGCCCTGTTGAATCTTAATGTGTTTTTCAACGTCTAAAAAATTATGATGTGAATTTTTAAAATATAATATATTAAATTATAATATTTTAGATATTTAAATATTTCTACAATAAAAAAATAAAATGATTGTTAAATTATTACTAAAATAAATGAAAAAAATATTATTATTAAAAAATATATAATTAATTAGTTATTAATTAATTAATAAAAAAATGAAAGAGGGTTATAACTTAAGAGATAAACATGCATTTAATGAAAAGAAAAAAATAAAAAAGTGTTTATAAATAGATGTGAGTAGGAGACTAAAGCTATCCCGTACAAAAAAAGAGAGAAAGGATAAAAAAAAGAAGGAAAAATAAATAAATAAATAAAGTGTTTCTATCTTATTTTATATTTATTTTATCTTTGCTTTTACACTTATATTTAATATTTATTTATTTTTAGTTAGGTATTAATTTTGTTTATTTATTTATTTATTGTTAATTCTATTTTTTTATTTTATATATATTGATTCTATTTTATATTTATTGCGTTTATATTTTAATTACATGTTTTATATTTATTTATTTCTAATTATGTTCTAATTTATTTTATATTTATTTAATCCAATTTATACATTAATTTTATTTATTTTATTTTTAATTATGTACTAGTTTTGATTTATATATATTTTTTAAGTACACTAATTCTTGTTTATTAATTTATATTATTTAATTTTTTAAAATAGTAAAATTTATTTATAAACATTTGATGATATCGTAGATGTAGACTAAACCTAGGGATTGATTTATATTTAATCACGTGTTAAGTCCTATCTACTCGTTTCAATCACCAAGATTTAACATTCATTTATAATATCATTAAATTTCCATAAATAAATATTATTATTTAAAAATAATTAAATAATATAAATATAAATTAATAAATAAAAATAAATGTGTAACTAAAAATAAATAAAAATCAAAACCAGTACATAATTAAAAATAAATAAATATAAAATAAGATAAGTATGTAATTAGAAATAAATAAATAAATATAAAAGATAGTATATAACAAGATAAATAAGTATAAAATAAGATCAATAAATATTTAAAAATAAATAAATAATAAGATCAGACTAAATAAATAAATATAAAACATAATTTATGTATAACTAAAAATAAATATAAAATAAATCAATAATAATTAAAAAAAAAATAGACTCAATAATCATAATTTAAAATAAAATAATAAATAATAAATATCTCCTTATCTATATTTAAAAACAATGTGCCAAATTTTTTAAAATTTATTTATATATTTTCTTTTTGCTTGTCTCTTCCTCCTTTCTCCTCTCTCCTTACTCGTGTAACTTTCCCCTCCTCATCTGGTTATAGCCATCTTCTCCTCATCGGGTTATAGCCACAATTTTTTTTTTCATTAAATGCATGTTTATCTCTTAAAGAGATAAAGTCTCCTTTTTCCTATTCTTTTCAAAATTAAATTTTAATTATTTTTATTTATTAATTAATTATATATTTTTAATAATAATAATAATAATATTTTTCATTTATTTTTAATAATAATTTAACAATAATTTTTTATTATAAAAATATTTAAATACCCAAAACATTATAATTTAATATATTATATTTAGAAAAATATTTAAATACCTAAAATATTATAATTTAATATATTATACTTGAAAATTTTCACTGTGTTACATTTTTAATAATCGAGGAAGAGAAATTAATTTAATATAATTGAATTATTCCCTCTCTAGCAGTAGCAGGGATGTACTTCATTAAACATGATCATAGGTTCCTTATGTTTTGCTTGTTGAGAAAGTGTAACAGACTAAACATTTTGCTATGTACTTTGATCCTGACATCTGAATCGATTGAAGTTGACAAGGCCCGGTAGGCATTATAATTCTATGGTTGTGTGTGATGCAGAAGGAAACACTTGTGTGATTTGCAACTCATAATGTTAAAAGCTAAAGGAGGTGGCAAAATGAAGATTTGAATTAAACTGCATTCTTTATAAAGACTACAAATGTTCATCTGAACCAACCAAAGCTACTGTTATTCTAGGACAAGATTTTTTCTACCATCCTAACAATCCCATCCACACCAACACGTTTGCATGACATTTTCTCAAAAGATTGGACCAGCGGCAAGAATCTCTTCTGTCAGGTTGTTGTTGCCCTTGCCAATCTTGTAGTTGGTGAAGGTTTCAAAATTATTCTTGAACAATCCCGCCAACTTCAGTAGTGTCTCCTTGTAGGCCTTTTTGTTTGACCACTGCAATCGATCAAAAACTCCAATGTTAGAAAAAGACCATGTCAAATAATAGAAAAAACAAAAGGTAGATAGCTCTAGGATTACTAACTGTGTTCACAGGGTCCAGAATTTCTGAAGGGACACCCTCCACTTCGGTGGGGATCTCAAGTCCAAAAATTTCTGTCTTCTTGTACTCTGCATTCAGGAGGCTTCCGGAGTGAATAGCATCAATGATTTTCCTTGTGTATTGTAGCTTAATACGACTCCCCTGACCATAGCTGCAGTTCGACATATGCGAGAACTTGTTAATCTAGATTTTGTAGGGGTACAAATTGCAATACTATTTAGGATCAGAGAGAAATTCAATTTCAATGACATAATTACATACCTGCCAGCAGACCAACCAGTGTTAACAAGCCATCCAGTAGCACCATGTTTCTGCATCTTTTCAGCAAGCATTGCTGCATATTTTGTGGGGTGTAGCATAATAAATGCTGCACCAAAACAAGCTGAAAAAGTTGCCTGTGGCTCCTTTATACCGTCCTCTGTGCCAGCCACCTGAAATGATTACAAGTAAAAGATGGTTAGAATTACAGAAGAAACAAAACAACATCAATAAACAATTAGGAATAGCTAGTTATTTGAAACAGTACCAATGCAGTATATCCACTGATGAAATGGTACATGGTCTGGGCCAGGTTTAGCTTGCTCACAGGTGGTAGTACACCAAATGCGTCACATGCCAAAAGAATGACATTCTTTGGGTGAGGGCCAACACAGGGTAACTTCGCATTAGGAATGTACTCTATGGGATAAGCTGCACGAGTGTTTTCTGCAATAAAAATTATCATGCAATGATATAATTATCAGCGGGGTTGTCTCGTAATGGATTATTATAAGCTAAATTTACAAGCAGCACCCAAAAATCCCCATCAAGACAATAATGTTCATCTTCACTTGTTTATCTGTCACATGCTTTTCACTTCATTATTCAATTCCTCTTCCTCATCCTCTTCCTTATCTTTTCCGTGTACCAGGAGGTTATTTTTAAGAAGTGACGATATCGAGCGAATAATTTAATTGAAACTGTCCATGTCCATGTCCTTGCACAATCAAAATTGGGGTCAACCTCTAACAAAATAAGAGAATATCTTACCTGTAACCGATTTGTCAGAGTAATCAACTTCACGATCATACTCATCAAACACCACGTTTTCCAACACTGCAATCAATTGAAAGAAAAATAAATAAATAAAATGTCAAATTGCATTTCTCATTTGGAGCTGGTCGATCAAGGGAAAGAAAACTAAAAAGTCAAAGTGCATTACTGATTAAGGAGTGATAAAATAAATTAAAACTAGTGTAAGATTAATACCTGTGCCAAATCTGATCGCATTCCAAATATCAGGCTCTTTCTCCCGTGAGAGATCAATGCATTTGGCATAGCAACCACCTTCAATGTTGGAGACACCATTCTCACCCCAACAGTGTTCATCATCACCGATTAAATACCTATTATGGTCGGTAGAAAGAGTGGTCTTTCCAGTACCTAAACCAGACAATGATAAAAAAAGGGAAGAAAGGGATCCATTAGGATTGTAGAAAAACGGAGACAGAAGAAGCCATAACACACATCCATGAATATAGCTGACAACACAAGCAGTGGAGTATTGAGCAAGGCTGAATAGGGGGGAAAGGTAAGGTAGGGTAAGCTGTGTCGAGCCACATTATACCGATGCAACCTTTGATGGGGTGATACTATACCTGAGAGTCCAAAGAAGAGAGCAACATCCCCATCTCTGCCCATATTGCATCCAGAGTGAAGGGAGAGGATTTGACGCATAGGCATGAGATAATGCATGACACTGAAAAGACCCTTCTTCATTTCCCCGGCGTATTGGGTGCCGAGGATGATCATTTCCCTCCTAGCAAGATTAAGATCTATGCTAGTGGAGGATGTCATGTAGTGAGTATAACGATTACACGGGAACTGTCCAGCATTGTAAATAGTGAAGTCCGGAGTACCAAAATTCTCCAGCTCTTCAGGAGTGGGGCGGATACACCTGTCACCCACCCAGTTATCCAATTGTACACTAAACTAAACTAACATGCACTACTTGGGGGGAACCTCTTCCTCCATTCAGCAGGGATGTATGTATATTATGTACAATATTATATCATATTCATATATATATGTGTGTATAAATTAAGGCTTTCAACGATAGGGCACTTATCTGGCGGACCTTATACCTTTTGTCTGGATGGATGGAAGGAAGAAGAGAGAAACAATTGCTACTAGTACTGTTGGCAATGGTAAATTATTCTTTAATTTTCACTTACATGTTGTGCATGAACAATGAATGGTAAGCTCTGGCTGAGACAATCCGGACTTTGATTCTGTTCTCCAAGTCCCAATTCAGGAATTGGTCATTGACGAAGACCTGTACATCACCAATGTTAATTGTTATTTAGAATACTGCCAGTAGGAATTGTCATTCATCATAAAGTATATTTGTTGTTTAAGCAACAAATTGGTCATTGACTTAGACATGCAAATAGACCATTGTTATTAATTAGAATTTAGAACCCCGTTCATTGGAATCTCCATCCAGACAAGATCAGACATTATATTTGTAAAAGTATTTTTATTGTTTAATCAAAGAATAAATAGTTGCTTAAAAATTCTCATCCATTTTTTGGGGAACATGGCCCACAGGTAGGCTTATCCTAGTCATTCATTCACTGTGAAGACGTTTGCAAAAATAATTCGCTTATTACCTTTGTTTAAAGAGCATGGAAACATTAATCAAATGAATTTGGGGAACATCAAATGTAAGAAATCGAGTCTAGGACAAACAAAAAAATTCATGGAAGGCATTATTTCGTCAATAATCATTGGTCTAGTCAGAGCTAATGGCACCAACTGATCTGTAAACCTGCATTGGATAACTATTCAAGTTTTGTTTATTTCGTACAAACCCAACCTTGATTGGTGACGTGCGGGATTCAACTAAGTCAATTACCATAAATATTTATTCTTTAAAATGATTTTATTATTAAAAAAAAAAACCTTTTTTAAAAGTTTAAATAATACATGTACTGACAACCGTGTAAAGTTTTTGTACACTGTTATGTAATTTATTTTCGTCCTAACCAAAACCACCCAACCCCATAGTCAGCCAAATAGTATAAATTCGTGGGGCGGATACATAGCATTACACATGAATGAAAAGCTGGATGCGTCTAACGGAAGTAAAAAATTAAGGGGACAAGCCACGCACATCACAGGCTTCGGTGCTCTACACAGTGAGAAAGAAAAAGCATAAATCCTTATTCCTTCATGAATCCGGGGGCTGAGTAATCTTTTTCTGACCCAAAGGAATAATTATAGATGCAAAATTGCATATCTTCCTTTTATTTCTTAGACAGAATGAAGAATACCCATACCACACCCATCCAAATTACCGCTATGCTAAGCAAGTAGGAACACATTCAATAACCCAATTCCAAGTAAATGACACAAAAACATGAACATAGTGCCGTGTTACTTAAGGAATCATGCAAACTTTTCGCCCACTTGGACAAAAAGACACCTAAGCACCACCATCCCCGCCTCACCTTAAAAAGCTTAAGATGAGATATATTTAAAATATTAAATAAAAATTATTATCACGCTTTTTTAATAAAAATTATTATCACGCTTTTTTAATAAAAATTAATCACAGGGGTGTATATCATCCCATCACAATCTGTCAGGTATATATAGTAATTAAAGAAGGGAGAAATTACCTTGTCCAAGGAGTTCAAGTAATCAACAGCTCTCTCTCTGTTCACCATGAAAGTGTGCTCGTCCATCTCGATGTTAGGGGAACCCCTGTGGTATACAAAAATTGTCAATACCGTGTCATAAAGTAGAAGTAAACAAAGACAAAGAAAACACAACAAAAACAATGTGACAGAGATATATAAGCCGCAAATATTATTCCACATAATTGGTATTGTTTAAACTTAGCACTCACTTTCCCCACCAAAGCTCATCCTCAGTAAGATCACCCTTGACGACGCGCTTGTCCCTAGGAGAGCGACCCGTCTTGGCCCCTGAAAGTGTTGCCAATGCCCCCGTGGAAGTGATGAATGATCCTTTCTCATACTTGATCGCTTGCTCATAAAGTTCTGCACAAAAATAACCAAATCACATTGAATAAACTAAATACTAATATATAGAGCTTCAAAAATTTAATTATCATGGAAACCTTGGTCAAAAAATTAAAGAAGATATTCATAGGATTTTCTCACGTCTGTCACATGAAGAGTGGGCTTAGTGTTCCTTTCATTAGGAAATTCGTGAAAATTTTGTCGGCCACAAAAACATTGGACTTTTTAATTCATTAAATTAAATTAAATTAAAAGAACCAGTAAAATGTAAGTTGCCGGCATTATTGGGAATAATTAGTATTTGAATACAAATTGACCACAATAAAAGTTGCCTTTTCACCAATTTTACTAATCAACTCTGATATACTTTAATAAAAAACTTAATTATCTAAATACACAAGAAATAAATATATTGATAAAAACATTACGCTTGACTACTTCAAATACATTGAACTAATTTCCGTACGCCGTACGTACAAAACCAAGATAGATCATATTACCAAATTAGTGACATCAATTAAATATCATATAATTGGAAAGAGGAACACGACCAAGTCCGATGTAACACTCGAAGAAGAGTGTATGGCCGTAATGATATAATATGTGAAACAAAAGAAAATGAACATCATCGTAAAAAGCCTCGTACTAGAATTATGAAGGTTCAGAAAAACGAGTACCAGCAGGGGAGAGATTGTAGAGGACATGGGTAAATTTCAAAGAACTGTCGCTGACAGCAATGGTGGGAGTGACATGATGATGCACGTGAGTAACCTTCGGTGCGTCTGACTGCCTAGCTGGGTCTCCCCTCACTAGTTTTGGTCCTGTTTCTCTGGTCAGCGAGGCCAGGGATGCACTGTTTCAACCAGAGATCCAAACAACATTCACAAATTTATTTTGTCAATATATTCACACAATGACAAAAAAATAAATAAAAATGAAGTGCTTGCGTCACCACTTAGCTCGGGTCCCACTCCAACAAAGTCAATCAAATATATCATCAAGTATACCACCGTCTGATTCCCCTTAATTTCTTGGTCAAGGAGCTATATTACACGTGGATCTACTAAATACACTGGTCCCACAACCTTTTTCTCATTTCTATTCTTAATTTTGCCTTAAAACGGATTTTCCGCTCCGCCATGACTATTTTTTCTCCGCAATATTTTAAATATAAATAATAAAGAAAGAGTATATTAAAAAATATTTCAAAACAAAATTAATAAACAAAAAAATGTTTCTGAAACAAATTTTATAAACAAAAATTTATATAGCGTAATATAAATAAACAGATAAAACTATATAATATAATTATTAAATAAACAATACATCATATAATTAATTGATTTATTAGACGCGGTTTCATAAATATTTTTGTATAAATTTCTCCTATACAATTTATTAAAGTGATAGTTGTTTTTTTAATTTAATAGTTAAGTAGTACAAAAATAGAAAAGGCACAAATTTATTAAGATTCCAGAGATCATAAGCGCCATAAACGTGAGAAAGAAATATATTATATAAACCTGATGGACTGCAGTTGCTGCTTATGACGCTCTTCTTCCGAAAGGGTGGCGAAGGGAGCCTGAGACCCCGTAACGGGTGTGGTGGGTGCAGACTTCTTCCTCTGCAGTGAGTGAAGCTCGTCAATAGTCTGCGCCTTCACGGTGGGAACGCTATCGTCGTGGCAGATCCCGTTATGCTTCTTGTGCGTCTGAATCTTGGCCAGTCCTTTGGTAGCGCTTCCGTTACCGTTCGCAACGCTGCCATTTCCGTTGGACGCCATCTCAATTTTCTCTCTCTGTCAAAATAAGGAAATAACATGAAAATAATGCAGAGCAAAGGTTTGAGACAGGCATGCAAGTATGATGAAGATCAAAGTAACGACTACGAACAGTATTAAATAAGAAAATTTTTGTGTAATTACCAGAGGTTTGGAGTGGGTAAACGAACGAAGCTAGAACAAGAGAGAGATAATTTGGAACGAGGAAAGGCTCATACGAAGTACAACGTTATGTTGTAAGGGTGAAGGTAAAAGGAGTTGGTAATGGGATGGGAGACTTACAGGAATGAGTTGTCCATTTTATAGGCTTCAGTGCCCTCCTTTCTTAACTAGACTTGAGTAACCATGGTTAAGAATAACCATGGTTAGATCCTATCCCATGCCACGCCATGCCACGGACTCAGCGGTCAAGTTCCGGAAAGAGAAAAATTCTAAATCTAATTATTCCGGAGAATCAGAGTCAGGTATTAGGTCCTCAGCGGGTGATACCTATCCTCTGCTCTCCTAACCACTTTAGCCAACAATTTACCTTTATTCTCTAATTAAATACCTTTATTAATCAATCGTTTTAAATTACCCTTATATAATTTACTTCTTATATTTTAAATAATTAAGTAATTAACTTAATACGGACATTCAAATTAAATACTTTAATTAATTTTTTTATTTCTTTTTTAGATGTAATTAATAAATATAATCAATTATTTTCATTTAACAAATATTTATAACATTTTTTTTAGTATTTTCATTTCTACTTTACAATAATACATCTCATTAAATATCGTGTGAAAGATAGAAATATAAATAAAAAAGACTAATTAATGTTATCCTAAATTTTAAAAATAATAATTAAATAAAAAAATCCGATAATTTACCGTTATAGTTTAGTAAAAATATCTCATGAGATTTTTCAAGATTAATAAACTTACATATCTTTAATAAAAGTCAATTTATATTGTATATTTCATTTTTTTTAATTATAATTTATTTATTTAAAAAGTATTGAAAATAAAAAATTATTATTTTAAAATAATAAATACGATATCTCAAACTGTATTTTCAAATGTAAGTTATTTGAAATTAAAAAAAAATACATAAAAACAAAATTGAGTATAAATTGTTTAACAATTATTTGAAATATCCAACCCAAATTACATTTTCCCATTTTATAACATAACAGGTGTTAATTACTGTGAATGAAGATGCTTTAATGACACAGTGTGTAATGTTCTACTTTACTAATTTCTCTGTCTGTTTGTCACAATAAATATATGAATAAATTATATTAAAATTAGTAGATACATGAAGTATAATTAATAATTAATATAGCCGTAAGTTTACAAATTACAAATAAATAGAAACAAAATTTCTCAAAAAATAAAAATAAAACTCTTGAAAAGAAACATAAATTAATATAAGTCATAATTATATTTAATTATATTATTAAAAGATGAAAAACCAATCTAATAATGTAAACTAAATGACATCCACTTAAACATATATTAAACACGTCTAAAATTACATAAATAATTTATTTTGTACTAAATTACGATTAGCATAAGAATGTGTTATAAGAAAAAAAATCAAAATGGACACAATTGCATGTCGTGTTTAAACATGGTATAGTTTGCGGGCAACTACATCTGAATATGATGTGGCGTTCCCGCAATTGCTACCTACTATGACTCAGTACAACCGAATGTGCGTCGCATGTTTCTTATATAACATTTTTATTTGCTACCAACCTTTTTTTTTTTTTCTACAAACAATTTACTTATTTATATTTAAACTAACATGTCTCAAAATATAGTATTCACACATCCATATAGAAGAAGAAAAACATTATACATATATATAATATTGAATATATCCAATTTGTGATTTTATTAAAAATATTACACATGATTAATGAAATAATTTATGGAGTTAATATAAATTAAGGAGTGTGTAATACTACATAAATAATTAACAAGATTAATATATGGAAAGAAAAAAATTGTATGAAAAGTAAAAGGAAAATAAATTAATTAATAAACAGAATAAACAAATTATTCCTTAAAAAAAGTGAATATTTATTTAAATTAAATATATTATTTAATTGCAAAATTATTCAATATAATTATATTAATTGATTTTTATTATTAAAATAATATCTTTAAATTAATATTTAAAATTTTAATATATTTTTTATATATAACTATACATTTTTGTTGTTATAAACATTTTTTTAATATTTAAAATTAAATTAATAAAAAATAATATTATATTATAAACAATAAATATATATATATATATATATGTGTAAATTATAAATATAAATTTTTTTAAAAATTATTTTATTCCTTCATATATACATTAAAAAAGTAAATGAATACGTTCTATTTAAAGTGATATATATATATATATATATATATATATATATATTTACTTTACTAATTACTAAACAATAATTAGTTCTGTTCATTCTCATGTAAGTTTCGTTTTAGGCAACGGAACCTTTGAAATTTTTTTTTCTATATGTCCAAATGCTCTCAAATTTTTATTTTTATCATTTGTTATTTTAATTTAATAATTAAAATAAAAAAGTTTTTTAATATAAAAATAAATTATAAAATAATATAATAAAATTTTAGATATATATTTAATTTATATATATATATATATATATATATATATATATATATATATATAATTTAAGGTAGTTATGTATTGTAATATTTTCATTTAACTTGAGATTATATAAATTAATAATGTCCGGACAAAAATAGATTACAAAGTAAAATTATCAAGCTATCTCATCATATCTAATTCATTTTATTATTTTATTATAAATATTATATTTAAATGTCTTATTCAATGTTAATATTATAATTTTGAAATATTTTTTTATTTTTGAACCATGGAGAAAAGCTTCAATACTTAGATATTTTAATAAATGTAATACATGTCACTTATAGTACTTTTCAGATATTTATTAAATTTAATTAACTATAAAAAAAATAGATAAATAGAATTTCTTAAATGTATAATGTAACATTCATTATATGAAAGGATTGATACCACAATCTATAACAAAATATTTTGAATGTTGTGTGCAATTTAGCTAAAATAATATTAAATTTCATTAAAACTTAAACTAAAACCAAAAGAGATATAGAATATAATGAAATTTTCTTCTACTCTTAGTTTATAGAATATATCTCTTGTATATTTGTAAATATATTACTGTTTTTGGATTATAAAAAAGAGAATATGTTTTTTTTTTATTGGTCGATCTCACATCATACAATATTGTAAGATATACAAGTATTATTGCTCTCACTATCTTAAATGCAAATTTTCAAGAAATATTATTGTTTTCACTATCTTAAATGTAAAATTTCAAGATTTTACTCATTATTTTAAGTACTAACCAAGTTTATTTATGAGACAAAATATGAAAAGTAGACTAGTATGAGCTAATACAATAAATGTGATAGTATAGATTTAAAGAATGTGAAATAATTTTATTACTTTATTACTCATCAACTTTGAAACCTTGAGAAGTTGAAGTTTATATAAACATTATGGCATATGATCATTGGTGGATATTTTTTCAAGTACAAACATTAAATTTGTAGTATTTCTGTATTATGAGTAATTTAAACAAATACGTATACTATATATTATATTTTAAAGAAAATAATGTGTGTTTTGATTTTTTTGGACAACTTTGTTTATTGTAATACATGAATCAATGTAAATCTTAATTTTCTAAAACAGAAACAGCATAGCATTAGATTCTGGCGATGGTGATGAGTTCCTCCTTCCATGCCTACAACTTCAAGCATCAATCCATAATCAATAATGGATAGATAGATATCATTCTTTTATAGAGCTGTGTCAAATGAGGTAACGCAGCAAACTGACACGATCCACCTTTTCCACGATTCAACCATCATTGTTTGTCCATATTTTCTTTTTCACAGTTCAACCATCATTTTTTTTTCATATCTTCTTTTTCTTATATTTAGTGGCCATTTTTTTGGAAGTTAAGGAAATGTAGTCTGTTCAAAATTTTGTAACTCTTACCTCTCAAATTTAATAAATTTATTTATATATTTATAATTTTATTTTTTCAATTTCTCTTCAATTTTGTAATTCTCATGTAAGTAATTTATGATTTTATTTTTTTAAAATTTAATAATCATTTAATATATTTAAATATGTATTTATAATTTTATTTTTTCATTATATTTTTTTTATATTTATTTATTATTTATTAATAATATATTATTTATCTCATCCATATGATTTTAAATATGTATTTATAATTTTATTTTTTCATTATATTTTTTTTATATTTATTTATTATTTATTAATAATATATTATTTATCTCATCCATATGATTTTCACATAACATATTATTTTCCACCAACCACTGCCACGTATTATTAAATACTTGCAACATTTTCCCTGCATGACTACTCATTTAAAGTCTTTACATTATTAATTATTTTCTTAAAAAAAAATCTGTTGACATTTTTTTATCTTGATTTTAGTTTTTCATTTTTTTTAATATTGACATTTTTCTATCTTAAATCTTAATCGTTAATACTTTTATTTTTTAATGTATTCTTTCAGTTTTTTTTACTTAGTTAAACGAATCATACATATGTTTTCTTGTACCATGTATATATTCATAATTAATCATTATGTTATGTTGTTAAACATTGACTTGAAGATTGGAGTATGGAGTATGGAGTTTTGAAGAAGTATGTTGATCCCTCTTATGAATGTTGTATCCCTGGCTGAAACGCACACATCATATATCTATTTCCGTTTATGTTTTTTTTAACTAGTTATTGGCATTGACTTATCATGTACGGTAAAATATATGTATCTCCTATGAACGTTGTAGCATAAATATATTCATTTTTACTTTAATCCAAATATTATCATAAAAAATAATACATAAAAAATAATACATAAAATAATTTATTTTGGACATTATACATTATCA